TAAATTAAACCTACTTGGGACTTGAAACTAGTCAACAGGAGTTTAGTAGGTAGTATGGTATACTGGTTGAGAGAACAGGTCCCAAACTCAGAGTGTCTAAGTCTTGATCTTGACTCTGCCACTAAACTAGCTGTGTGGTCTTGGGCAGTTACCTTAGAAAATGGTGCCTTAGTTTTGTTATCTCTGAAAAGAGGCTAACAGTACTGATTCAGAGTTGTTGTTGGGGGGGGCGGGGTACATTAGTTAATTCAAGTAATTTAATGCCTGGAGCATAGTAAGCACTTAACAGCAATTGACCCTTGAACAATATGGGGATTAGGGGTGCTGACCCCACATAGTTGAAAATAACTTTTGACTCCCCAAAAACTTAACTACTAATAGCCTACTGCTTGCTGGAAGCCTTACCAATAACATAAACAGCTGATTAACAAAATACTTTGTAGGTTATATGGATTATATAAGGTATTCTTATAAGAAAGTAAGGTAGAGAAAAAGTGTTAAGAAAATCATAAGGAAAATATTTCCTACTCATTAATTGGAAGTAGATCATGATAAAGGTCTTCCCCCTTGTTTTCACATTGAGTAGCCTGAGAAGGAGGAGGAAGAGGAGTGTTGGTCTGGGGGTCTCAGGGGTGGCAGAGATGTAAGTGGAAGGGAAGGCAGAGTTGGTGTAACTTTATGGAAATACATTGTAATTTGTCTGATGTTTTCACTTTTTGATTTTTCTAAAAATGTTTCTATATAGTACCAATGCCTCTTCCACTGTTTGCTTTAGTTTCAGTGCCTGTATCATAGAAGGGTCCATGTCATAAAAGTGGAAGACAATCTTGAATAATAGGATTCCTTCTACAAGATTTGTCTCATTTTTTTTTTTTTTTTCTGGCACTGATTCTTATTTATCTTCTTCCTCATTATCTGGCCCTACTTTTGAAGCACTCCTCTCTGTCGAGTTGTCTTCTGTTAATTCCTCCAACATCTATTTGCTCTTGAATTTCTCCAAGATCCAAATCGTGGAACCCTCTGCCCCCCTCATCTTTTTTGGCATATCCACAATCTCTTTCATGATTGCCTTGATTATCTTTGTTATTAATCCTGTGAACTCGTACACATCTGGACACAAGTTTTCTCCAGCAAGAACTCACTATTTCAGGTTGATGGCTTTCACAGCTTTTTCTGTAACAATAACAGCATCTTCAATGGTGTAATCTTTCCAGAATTTCATGATGTCCTCTGTATCAGGGTTCCCTTTTACAGAATTGACAATCCTTTCTAAAGAGTACCATGTGTAATGAGTCGTAAAGGTCCTTATGACCTCTGATCTCGAGACTGAATTAGAGATGCTGTGTTTGGGGGCAAGTAGACCACATGCCTTTGATGTTGAACTGATGGAGCGCTGAACGGCCTACGCATTATCTCCTATCAAAAGAACTTGCAAAGTACTTCCTGACTTCAAGACAAAGCATTGATGGAACCAATCCAGAAAAAGGGTTCTTGTCATCCAGGCTCTCTAATTGTACAACCAAAACATTGGCAACTGCTGTTTTTCTTTTCCCTTCAAGGCTTAGGCGTTAGCAGCTTTATAGATAAGAGTTGTTCAGATCATAAACCAACTACATTTGCACTAAACAGCAGAGTTAGCCTATCCCTTCCTGGCTTCAATCCTGGTGTTCCCTTCCTTTTCCTTACTAATAAACATCCTTTGTAACACTCCTATCCAGAATAGGGTACTTTCATTTGCATTAAAAACCTGTTCAAGCCGATATATCCCTTCTCATTAACAATTTTCCTAATAGTAGCTTGGAACCTGACAGCTGCCAATTCATCAGCGGAAGCTCCTTTTTTTATCTTGACATTTTTTAAAGGTAAGCCTCTTTCTAAAATTGCCAAATCATCCCTTGTTGGCATTAAGTTCTCCAGCTTTACCTCTTTTGCCTTCCCTTTGTCATGTAATGACTTCATTTTTCCCTCAAATTGTATTAAGGCTCTCTAGGTATGCCTTTCTGTTTATTTATTTATTTTTTGAGACAGAGCCTCAAGCTGTCCCCCTGGGTAGAATGCCGTGGCATCACAGCTCACGGTAACCTCCAACTCCTGGGCTCAAGCAAGTCTCCTGCCTCTGCCTCCCAAGTAGCTGGGACCACAGGC